TCACATCTCACTCTTAAAATTTGTGAAATTTTCATAAAAATCATCTTCGCATATTTTCCCCATACTATAATATATTCATAATTTTATAATGAAGTAAAAAAATTGCAAAAATTTTTGTCTCCTTCTGCGGATAGAAAGCGAGAGAGAGAAGAAAAAATGAAATTGAGATGCCCGTTCGATAGTGAACAAATAAAAGTGTCACTAATAATAAGCGATGAATTAATAGAAATTAATTCGATCGGAAATGGTAACCATCATTAGAAAACAAAAATAGAACGAGATGGATGAGAACGAATACATTTAATTGTAGTTAAAATAGCCTATTATCATTTTTTTTTTAAAATGTAATTCATTGGTAAAAGAAGGATAGGAAGACTTTGATGAGTTGGGATGGAATGAAAGGAAGAATTTGAAATTAAATAAAATTTTGACTTCATTTTTAACAAATAAATTTTTACACACAATTTAACGTTGTTTAGATTTATAATTGTTTCTTAATTAAACTATGCTTGAATTGTTATCTTAAAAAATAAAGATTTAAGAAAATGATTTGAGAATAAATGTGATGGATTTTTTGTTGAAAAAAAAACAACGCAATAACAATGATAATATTTAATATACTCTTTAATTTTGATAATAAATACTACGAAATTAAGTACACTGTTGAACGAAATAAATTAATTAATTTCACTAATTTTTCGTAATTTATCATGAATGAACGATAAGAAACAAACCGATGACAGTTGGTTCTAGATCGATCATAACTGCACGTGGAACATGTCTACCTGATCCAGTTTCCGAAAAAAATGTTGTAAACGAATCATCAGCGCTACCGACGCTTTTATCCGATGGCATTTGTCCATCAGGCTAATTAATGAAGATTATTTCATTCTAATTAATAAAGATTATTTTATTTCAAAATTTCATCTCAAATGATTTTATGTTATAAATTGCTACACAAATAAATGAGACGAAAAAAATTCAGATGATATTTTGTTCCAATTTAAATTTTCATAATTTAAATTCTTATTATCAATAAAATTGTTGCAGGAGGAGGAAATTTCAGCAACCTGAATGCCATGTTCCAAGCAATACAACTCCCAACAGGCATTACCAATTTGAACACCAGCTTGGCCAATATGTATTGAAATTACTTCACGCTAAAAAAAGGGAAGAAAAAGAGTAATTAATTTTTGGGAAAAAAATTGCAAATTAAAATTTTCAGCAATTTTTTCTCTATCAGTAATAACATTATTTTATTTGCAAACAACTTCAAATACAATAGAATGATTCATCGTATTGTTATGAAGTTTCCATAGTAACAAAAATGAAATGTTAGCAAAATCAATAAATTTTGTAATTTATATTTAATACACCTCCCAAAACATACTTTAATTCTTTCTCTATTTTTCTTTTTTTTTCTCTCTCTCTCTTTTTTATTATAATATATAATAAATTTCATTTTATTTTTCAACAAGAAATTATTGGTATAATCGATAATCAATAGTTATTTTGTTAAATTACAAACAAATCAATAACTTATTGAAACTTATCAACTTAAATCAGTAGGGAGAAAGAGAGAGAGAGATGTGACCAAACTAGGCTAAGATAAAATAGACTAGACTAGGCTGGAAGGAGAAAGCAAACCGACCATTTGTGTCGTCGAATGCTGCTACAACTGCTCAGTGGATTTGTTGCTATTAGAGGAAGGGCCTCAATGATGTCTGTTATACTACCAAATATTTTAGTTAACTCCCACTTCTGCGCCGATCCTCTCCCTCAATAAGAAGAGAGAATCA